TTTACTTGCATTTATTACGCTTTCGATAAGTTAGTGTTTAGAAAATTAAAGCATATTGCAGGTAAAATGTCATAAAGATTTGTAGATGAATTGAAAATTCAATTTAAATTATTTTAAATGAATTTCTATTTGTTTTAATTACATAATTACTAATTCTAAAAGGAGTTAAAGTACGTTAACTACAAATGAAATATCAATTTTAAAGAAATATTTTTTGCTTACCTAAATGTTCTTTTAATTGTTTAGTAATTCTGTCCTCGGTGAATAAAACAGTTATGTTTTTTCCCGCCACGTTTGTTACAGTTGCAGGATAGTATTTAAAATCTGTCCACCTAGCTAACACAGTTTCTCCAACAACAAAACGTTTTGTTATCGATGGTCTGGAAACCTAAATGTGTAAGATAAAACACAGTATTGAATATTCAAGAGAAGTAACATTTTTATTTTAAGTATTTGTTGTTCTGCTAGTTTTTCAGTTTGGTAGTCAAGAAACATATAATAAAAAAAATTTAAAATTTGAAAAATTGTTCAAATTTAAAATAGTTCTGATATTTTATTTTTTAGCATAATTTTAAAGCTCGTAATATATTTATTTAAAAATTAAGTTTATTCGAATTAAATCAGTAACAAGAAAAAAATGTAATTAATAAAAATAAAATAATATTTTTTATCTTGCCCTAACATTCAATGCATTTTAATTTTTAAAGCGTTTTCTTTACTTATAAAGTTTTATAATATTTACTTTCATGTAGTCAGGTTTTCTTAAAAAAATATCAATAATATTTTTCTCTTTCAATATTAAAATAGCTTAAATACAAGATAAAAAATAACAAAAAATAAAAATATCTTTAAAGAAACATTAAAAAGCCATATTAAATAAACTAAAGCTCTTCTTAAAATTAAGATAACAGAGAAAAATAATACCTTGCTCCGTAATTTTCGCTCCATTATGAATTCAGGATGTAGCCTACACAGAGATGTAATAAAATTATTGAAGACATATTTATAAAGACAATAAAATGTTTCATCAAGATAACTAACATTTGCGAAAGCTTATTGTTAAATTGTAAATTAGTTTCTTTTCTACAATGTATTTATTTGCCAACAAATACTTCATAATAATATTAACATACAGAAAAAACTATCAATGGAATACAACTAATAAATAATTAAAATCAACGTTTAACTCGCTATAATTTAAGGTATCTTGAAAACATGCTCTTTGAAATAAGAAGTCCAATTTAAAAGTTTTTTGAAATTCCAATTTAAAAGTTTAATGATTTACTTAAACTTTGAAATTCCAATTTAAAAGTTTAATGATTTACTTAAACGAGGAAAAAACAAGTTGTACCTACCGAGTTCGTGGTGCTCAAATCTTTTTTCTGAGAGAGAGGTTTGATGACTATGTTTTAAACTGTAAATAGAAAACAGAAATGTACTGCATGTAAAAAAATAAATTTAAAAAAAAAACTGGTTCACATTTTATTCAGTTGTTTATTTAAATTATCTAGCCTAAACTTTCCAAATTATTTATTTTCTAGACAATGACAAAATGACTTTCTCAGTTCAGCAAGAAAAATTTTCTGTTATTTCAGTTCACTCAGAAAATAGAACGCAAAGTCTAGTTGAAATCAAAAGAAAGTTAGTTTATTCCATTTTAGATCAGCAAAAATAATAATTAAGTTAATTGCAGTTAATAAATAAATTAGATAACCTTGAGAAATAAAGAACTGAAAGCAGAATAAAAACGCCAACTAAATAAATAAATACAAAAAATAACAAAATAATTTAGTACATGAATCACAGTAAATGATTTAAAAGTTGCTAAATCAAATAAGTCACTCAGATCTCAAAAAATACAAATGAGCCCAAATTAATTCAGTTATAAAACTTATCATCGTGAAAAAAAGAGAAAAAATAAAGGGAAAAATAAAATAATAACACCTATGTCATTTAATTTCAAAACAACAAAAAAATAATGTAAAAAAAAAATTAAAAATTTGAATAAATATTTTTACAAATAAAAGAAATCTTTGCAATTAAACCATTGCAATAAACAAATAATGCAGTTTCAAAAATATCCTCTTAATAAAATTTAAGTAAGGAAAATGAATAAAATGAAAATGCATACAATATTATCAATTTTTAATATAATTTCGATTTTTATAAGTGACGTTAAAACTCCTGAACTAAGCGGCTTTTAGGCAAACAGTTGTTTTTAATATTTATACCATTAAAAATTAGAAACAAAATTTGTTTGAAAAAACTACTGTATATATTAATGATGCTATTATTTTTGCTTCTAATTAATTGTAAAGAAAATACATAAAAAAAACTTAACGACTTGTAAAAAAGCTTAAACAACTTAACAACTTGCTTAAGAGTTAAGTTGTTTACAACTTAATAACTTGAAACTTAACAACTTAAGTGAAAAACTTCACTTAAGTTGTTACCAGGAAAGTAAAGTTAAACTTTAATTTTTAATTCAACAGTAAATTAACATAATAGTAAAAGGAACATTAATTACACGAAATCAAACACAATTTTAAAATGGTGATCACAAAATTTTAAATCATAATACACACAGAAAATATAAATAAATAAAGAATAAAAACTCTTAAACTTTCTAATTTTAAAAAATACATAAGAAACTTGCTTAAAAATCTATTTGACATAAAACAAATAATTTTAGATTATATATCTAAAAACTTTTAAATTAAATTCGGAACTTTTTTGAAGAAAATTAAAAAATATTATAATAAGTACTCACCAAAACTGTTATAGTTCTTTAATTTAGTCATCACTCTCTGGGCTAGTAGGGACACAGAACCACTAAACACCACAAACTGATGGGCGCGGTTCTGTCCACCTTTATATATGCATTGGCTGCTAATGAACTCCCTCCCTTTAACTAACAGATGGACCACACATATGAATGCTTTCCTATTGGACCTTGGCTGTAGAATTCCCAAAGCGATTTGTGCCTTGCGTGTGCTTTATGTTTAATATTTAATCAGTTTAGGCAGTAATTTTTTAATGTCAAATTTAATTTTTATTAAATTTATAATAATAGTATTTAAATAAAAATAAATAAGATATAAATGCAAGTTAATATCAATCCGTGAAGTAAACAACTCATTCGTGTAATTAAAATAANAAACAACTCATTCGTGTAATTAAAATAACATTACATTAGTAAACAGGAAAAAAAGTGTGTACTTCCGCAACACAAAGCATGATTTTAAAAATTTATTTATTTATTTCGAAATTGATTGGTTCAATCAATGATATTCTTTTTCATCAACTCACTATTTAATCGCATCTTTTTTTCTTCTTGTTTTATTAAAACTATAATAATAATATTTCAACAAAAATGAGATATATATGGCAAGTGAAAACCAATCCGTGAAATAAACAATTCATTCGTGTAATTAGAATAACATTACATTAGTAAACGGGAAAAAATTGTGTACTTCCGCACCACAAACCATGATTTTAAAAATTTATTTATTTATTTCAAAACTGATTGGTTCAATCAATGATATTCTTTTTCACCAACTCA